AAAGCTCTGGCCACTTCACTATTAATAAATCATATTGATGGAGAATCGGGAACTCGGCCCATCTGATAAACTTCGCCCAGGGCGATAACTATTCAGGGTGTCAGTCGATCTAGTGAGCAGTAATAAAGACTGTGTACATGATTTCCGCTAAAAGCATGAAACCTGATTCAGAATGTGTACTACTTTGTGCCGGCTTTTGTGGTCAACCATACCTCCTCGTCAAACGGGTGGTTATAACCTAGCTAAAAAGTCTAATTTTTCGCCGCTATTTAGTCAATCATTCGTCTTCCCACAACTAATACTGTTGTCTGCCGGTGTTTACGTCCAGTAAATTTCTTTCGGTAGAGATAAAATTATGTGGCTTCGTAACTAACCGAAAGCCACACTGAATGAGTGTGTCGCAATACGTAATTCCTACTGCCTCACGTCAACCAAAAAGAAGCTCAATTTAACCGGGTGAAGGTTTAAACGGAATTGAGTTAACCTTAGAAACGAAAAGATCTTATGTTGTTTTAAAATTGCAGGAACCTCTGCAGAGAGAAAATTCTGCGAACCCGTTTTAGCTAATCCAGCAGTCTAGTGTAAGTCAACCTGTACTTAGAAAAGTCATAGAAAAGACGAGTGACTCATAAAAAAGGCTAGATGAATGAGTCGAATTTTGGGCTAAACATCTTAAAAATAGTTTATTTGAATCCTTACATCCATTGGTCTGAATGCCGCCCCGCCCTTTTGCCCGTAAATTCAAATTCTCTTTTGATGAACGTCGCAGGGTTGTCGGATGTGACGCCATTCGTCTAGTCTTGTTCACAGACATAGATAGCATCCCGGAAAATCTTTTGTGAGTATTGCCTGGAAAGTCTGGTTCGGTGAATGGATTGCATGCAACTACAGCGGTGTGGGAATCCTATTCATCCTCAAAAAGGAGACCATTCCAACTGCAACAACTGCTATGAGATTCCATTTGCTAGCAGTCTCGTTGCATTGTCGTAGGTCGTACGTCTTTAATAGACAGGTGAATTCTAATTTGTGAAAGATGTTGTGAATATCAAATATCAAACAGCCCCCCGTTCCAAAAGCAAAAGTTATTCATTGCCTAATTTTACTGGTTTATACCGTACCAAATAATGAAAAACCTAAGTTTGATCTAATTTTTGTCCAACCACCTGTACACTTATTCGGACAATCTAACTGCTGCTTTCATAAATTCCATTCTTAGCTTAAGATCACCAGAACTGAAACATTGCTTAAATCTTTATGCGGAGCAAATACCTTCGTTTTGGGAAACTAGACATGTTGAACAAACAGCTGTCAAAGTATTCTCGTTATAATGTTTTTAATCCAGTTTAAAAATAATTTGGAACAGATCTCAAACAATGTTGACAGGTGAGACCTCGTGATCGTAGTTTGTCGCTTAGCCAGAGAGCATAGTGTGTCTGACTAGTTGGTTCTCACCAATTCTAATAGTGTGTGACGTGCACGTTGAGTTCGCACGTATATTCAGGAAACAAAGTTACTTATTTGAATATCGAAAATGAGATTGAATTCACTTCGCTGTCCATTCGCTACATTAATGAATTTAGTTTAATCTCAATGGTTATTTTGTGAAAGACAACTAAATGATAGGTTCAAATGCGATACAGGTTGTGTTGATTCATAAATGTGCAACAGTCAATAAAGGAATAAGATGCGGTCGAGTGAATCAATAGAATTGCTGCAAGTATAAACCGTAGAAGCGATCTTCCGGATACAAGGAAAAAATGTTAATAGGTCAGATAGTATGCATAGTTGTTTTTTGTTCGCTGGGCCTTGCGATCCGGTTGCAGAAGTTTCATCATCGCGTAGTACATCGGCGTGGCGCCGCTGTTCAGTGGTGTGTTGCGAATACCTAACACCACTATATATACATATATATACATATACATATCACAGTGCATTGCACGCTACCTTGACCATCTAATCCGTTCAGTCTTTCTGCTCCCACATAAGTTAAGAGAGAAGTTTTTGTCGATATCACCAAAAAAATTCTACCTAAGACCAACTTCAACCAAGCGGATATAAAATTCAGAAAGTGATTTTTTGCACAATGAGTGAGTGAAAAGTCTGTAAGCGAATGAAAGCGAAATAAAATCATTTCAGAGTTTAGGTCCTATTTTGGATAGAAGCGTTCTAGCTAGGGAATGGTGAAATTTTCCCCATGTTTATATTCTTTATCCCTATGTTGCATAAATTTTGTTCGCAAAGATTGGGCTAACATAATGTAGAAGAGTTGGTGCAATTTTATTCACTTGTCATTACATTTAGAGGCACATCCCTGGTGAAGCAGCATACTTTCAGTTTTTACTCTGTACAGAATGCAAGTTCGGACTATACGTTTTTAAACTAGAACGCCAAGAAAATCTTCCGGTGAAAAAATGGAACTTCAGACCATAACAGGTTTTTTGTCTAAACATCGGTTGTTGTGGAATCTTCTTTTTTCAAACCAATCCCTTTTGACCCTACAGACCAAACTGTTGTCGTCTGTGAATGCACCTGCCTTTACTCACTGTTTGCGTAGGATATGATGCGTTCACAAGGTAGCTCTGCTGCATCTGCACTGCAGTTAGCTAATTAGATTTCAGCAGCATCGTGTTCCGAAGGCCGAAAATTTCGCGACGCAGACCACACAAATTCCGTCACACGAATTTCAAGGGCTAAACTGTTCAACTTGTGGGCCGATTGGCAGATGAATGGATGCTCTCTTCAGCGATATTTTTACTGTGCCAGTTTGTTTTTCGCCATCAACCCGGTTCACAAGAAAATCCGCTGTGGTAATAAGCAAAAAAAACTCACCAGCATTTTCATTCCAGCCATGTTCATCTCAATACATCTGCAGTTACTTTTACCTTTTGCGTAAGCCAAAACTGTCTCGGTTGAGTTTGGGTTTCGTAAATATATTTGTTACCCCGGTGCTTATCCTTTGTTGATCAGATGGCCGTTGATCTGTTCGCCGAGCTTGGCAACTGACTTGCAAACGTTTCGTTACCAGATAAGGCGACACCTTCTGTACGCCCTGCAGTGTATCCAGCCTCCATTTTCGGTGACAAAATATTTGTTAGTAGATTGCCAAGTAAAATGAACAGACTTACAAAAATAAAAATTTAAAAAATTGTTCAGCTGTAACACCCTTCCGGTGCTTAGCTGCCATGTCACACGAAGGAGGCACGAGGGCTGGGATACTGCCAGGTCGCCCAAGCCTAGACAGGGGAAGTCGAGTGGCAGAGGTCGGATTCGAACCACGAACCTTCCGGTCAGTAAATTCGCGCTGTAACCACTTGGTCCAACAATAGAGCCGTGCGTTCAACAACGATCTGATAACTGCTTGCAGCGTCTTGGTTCGTCTTGAATCGATAGACGGCTGGGAAAAAAGAGCCCTCTGGAGTGAAAATGGATGTCACCAAGCTATCTGTATTGAGAACACAACCTACAGCTTATAATTATGCTAGTTTCACGTAAGCAAACATATGGTAGGCATACAGTAGACATACGGCAAATATTGGTCAGTGAAAGACAATTGGAAAGTTGACTTACGGATCGTAAGTTCGTGTCTGCAGTTGTAAACGTAAACAGGCTTACAGCCAACTGATGAACAACCAGTGGTTTTAGGTTTGTTCATTGAGACATTTTACTGCTTTTCCTCCAACTGCTGCATAGCCCACTTCACTTTAGTAAACACTCGAAGAGTGATCCCATTAGTTAGATACTCCTAAATATATAACGCTTCCTGTCAGTAACGAAGTGATGTTTTGAGATTTTCGTCAATTTCAGAGACTACGCATCTTTTGTCAAATGTGTGGAAAATATGTACCCCATGGGTTGAACAATAGCTAAGAGTAAAATGGCTAACCGTAATTACCGCTCACATACTTTGTGGCAAGTAGCACCAGCTACAGTGTAGCGCAAAAAATGTCAAACGAAAGTGTAGGTGGTGCCTAAAAAATCGAGGATTTAATCTGAAGACCAACTAAAAGTACTAAAAATTGCGGCAGAATGTGGGATTTCAGGAAGTGGGGCCTGCATTAGATTATTCCTTGCTGGAAAACACCAAGCTCAGCTTTGTTTCTTTGCTTCCGCCCAATCCAGTGAAAAGCACAGAAATTTATAGACTGTGGAATAACAGAACCCATCTGATCGAGCACCGTGTCAGTTTTCACGGACATTTCTCCACTTTAGTGTGTCCGACGGCTAGTAAGATATGACCATAGTCTGAAATTGATGAGTAAAGTGTTCAGATTTATATTGGTTTTGGTGGTCAGCTGGTGAGCTCGTTGGCATGACGTACATAAATTTAACTGCAGGATTTTGTGGTAAAAATATCTGACGCGGTTTGGCACGACACAACTCAAACAAACATCTTGGTAACTTCGTTGAGCTTTAGTTAACTGTGACGATAAAGTTTATTTTTTGCAATTTTGTCGGTTCTCATAATTATCCTCGCCGGTACGTAAGTGTAGGTCCTGAAGTTAAATGCTTTTTAATCCAGGACAATAGAGTCACTTCAGAGTTTAGCGCACAGTTTCTGGTCTAGCTTCGCACGGTTAGATTAGTAGGAAGAGTTACCTTGAATTATAAATTTCAAATCTTTTCTTTTTCAAAACAAAGTTACACAGACGAATATTTAGGATAAAACCAGGATTTTTGATCTCCCAGATGCTGGCAGCAAAAGTTAGCAGCGTTGGGTTGGGCATATCAAAAAGTTATCATCAAAATGTTGTACGAAGCTTGCAACTCAACATCACCTCGCGAAAAGTATTCAACCGTTTTCTATCCCAACGAAAAAAGTGTAAAGTCATTAGACACGACAATATCTTTTGCAAATAGCCACGAGAAACCAGTTTAAGTTCGTCCAGAGGATGGGTTCGTATGTCAGTAACCATAAATTCCGCAGCTGCAAACAACCAATCAAAAGGTATCCGGAAAGCTTCAAGCATTCTGATGCTATCTGACTGAGAAATCCCCACAGGTGGTTCAACCAGTTAACTCAGAGAGGACAGTTTCTGGGTCGTCTTTCGAGATGTGGGACAAACCAGTCACACTGCTCAATTAAGAACACATTCACTCGTTCACGTGTCATAATTCACGTGAGTTCAGCGTGCTCTGGTGGATTAGTGGTAATTCACTCACCTCGCACGTCAGATGTCCGGAATTCAGACCTTGACACAGCGCCACTGATGAGCTCGAGTCCGTTTTTCATGTAAGCTGACAAGAACAGGACATGAGCATAGCTGTTCAGTGAGAAGCAATGTGAAAGGGGACTACTATTTTCCCAGTGTGAATCGGCGCCTGTATAACCTGACCGGGACTACCTGACTAAACAATCTGAATTTCGAGGATTTTGGTTACACTCCGGTTACGTTTATGTTAATAATATCAACTTCGCATGGAGAAATGTAGCTTATGTTACTGTCCTTGACTCATGTCAGGGGGACTATAACTGTGAAGAAACCCATCTTACCTTGGAGCTCAAAAGGCGCAAACATAGGCTGCATTGTCCAATGTCAGATGAAGTGTGCTTCTTCCGCCCGAAAATAAGATTGTCATTGATAAAAAACAATTCAATCAACTGCAGCTGTGTACAAAGCTCAGCTCAAGAATTTACAAGTCACACGGATATATAGGTAAGAAAAGCTTACCGACACTGAGTTAAATATCTGATAAATAGAGTACATCACAAGGGATAGTCTAAAGATTAGAGGGAGACAAGATTCGGCAATCTTGTTGAATTATTGGGGATAAAAGTTGAATAACTCTCCTGAGAGAAAGCCTAATGTTCTAATTATATACTGACTAGATCAAGAAGACCGGATAGTTCAAGAAGCAGAATCACGATAATGGCATGAAGGAAATTATTCATTCCATTATAATGGGTCCCCACAGAATGAGTTGTTGATTATCACCACCTCTTGTTCACTACTGTGTCAAGCAACAGCCGTCTGCAGTTATTACAGGGTGTTTCTTTAACTCAGCCGTTAGAAGCCTAGCACGCCTCCTCCTTCAGGTAAATCTGACTTTAGATAAGTTAATTCAACGGGAATGACTCACTTTGAGCCACACGTCTAACTTTGTCTTCCTGTCTATGACAGAATAAGTGAGCTGGTCGTTGAAGGAAAAATTAGGTGTCACCTGCGTATTACAAACCTTGAGTATTCCGGCCTAGATGTCAGTCATCCTCCATCCTCTGCCATATGAAATCTAGTGAAGGAGATAGATAATGAGCAATCCAAATTCAGACAGTGGCTCACTTTTCCTCGATCCCAATCTTACATGCGCATTTTACATAAGACTCCAAGCAATATTTTGCGTACAATAGCGATTGAAACACGGCATACAAATTGGACGGGTTCATTGACGAGGTAAGTTGTGTTCTTGAGTGACTACCAGTGTAAGGAAGTCAGTAAAGAGGAAATGCATTCCGTATCCAAACCATCACTACAGGCCTGGGACCGTCGCTCTCTGTGAGACCCGTCGTTACCAGAAGTCCACCGAGCTGCTCATCCGTAAACTGCCTGGTGAGGGAAATCGCTCAAGATTTCAAGACCGACCTAAGATTCCAGAGCTCGGTTGTCCAAGCTAAACAGGAAGTCAGCGAGGCATACTTGGTTGGTCTGTTCGAGGACACTAACCTGTGTGCAATTCATGCGAAGTAGGTCACCACCACGCCCAAGGACATCCAGCTTGCACGCCGCACCGCGATGAACGGGCTTAAATCGGTACCAACAAAGCTGTCCTGTGAACGCCATAGCGCCCCTTTTTAGGGAAGACTTGTTCACAAAAAGACCACAAAGTGCCTTTCACGCTGTGGTTTTGGTGGTTCCGAATAAAATAGAGAATCTTGTCGCTTTTATCAGCCCTTAGACCTCCTTTTGCATCTCGTCCTTGTAGTCTGAGTAACACAGATGGACATATGCGAGTGCGTATTCACTCTGACACAA